CAACACAACATCCATCTAAGCAAGTGATCTCTTCTACCTTCACCACTAACTTCTCACAAAAAATCTCTCATCATCTCTTCAATCTTCCTCTCCATCACCCTAGTCATCTTAAAAAGAGACAAAAAAATAAACAGGAATGCTAGCTAAAATAGACTAAACCAAAATAAGTCTCCCCCCTCTAGACATAAAGGCTTTTTTCCAACCATCTAGTCTTTTACCTATTTTTTCAACAACCAGATCACAAAACCCCAAGGAAAGAGGGTTAACACATAAAGGAAATCCCAAGTACTTCGAAGGCCCCAAAACCCTAGCCAATCTAGCAATCTTATCTTGACAAGCATTAATTCCCACATCAAACTTTTATCCATATTAACCTTAAGTCCCGACACCACCCCAAAAACATCCACAATTTCCTTAAGATTTAAAACTTTTCTTCATCCCCGGAGGAAAAGAACATTGTATCATTGGCAAATTGTAAGTGAGACACTACCACCCTATCTCTTCCCACAACAATACCCTCTACCATATTATATCTCTCCGCCCTCATGATTAACCTACTCAATCCATCCACCACCAAAGTGAACAAAAAAGGAAACAATGGATCCCCTTGTCTCAATCTAATCTATCTCTAAACTTTCCATTAAGAATAACTGAAAAAGTTCATAGACTGAAGGCATCCACTGATCCATGTCCTCCACCTGAACCCGTACCCTTTTTTCTCCAAAACTAAATCTTAAAAATTTCGATCCACATGATCATAAGCTTTCTCAAAGTCAATCTTTAAAACAATTCCCTCATTTCCTGTAGCTCTATACTCTTCAACCACCTCATTAGCCACCAAAGCAACATCCAAAATCTGTCTATTCCTAACAAAAGCCCCCCTAAAATCCTAAAATAGTATCACTTAAAGATTCCCTTACAGATAAAAGTTATGCAATAATCTTATAGAGACTTGTAACGAGGCTAATGGGCCTAAAATCGTTAATTTTAAGTGATTTTTCTTTTTTTGGAATGTTACAAATGAAATTGCATTAGTAATATCATTAATCACTCCACCATTTCTCATGCTTATCTGATATCAAGTTTGCTTCCACCTTGTATTTTGTCAAATCTTCACATGCTCGAAGTTGTTGGACCGTTGCTAACAAATAATTTAGTGAGGGTTATGTTAAGAACATGCCTTGAATCAGAAAAATGTGAGATGATGATGTTCTTCCATGTTAGTGTACTTAAGAGCTGCTCTCCATACTAGTATTTGAGGGAATAGCTATCACTTTTGGTAGGTTTGTACCAAGTTGGCTTTAGTTACTCCTGTGGAACTTGTTTGTTAGCCTGGTTAACTTTCCCAGTAAATGTTTTGTTGGCCTAAACGGGGATGTTTTTTAAGGATTGAATCATGATACATGTTTTCAGCCACATTGGTGGATTGACATTGACTTGTTTGCTTTAAGGTATTTCTATTTGCAGTGCATTTGACCAATGTTCTCATCCTTTGTATTCTTTTTTGTTACAGGTTCGTTTCCTCACCAAAATATATCATCCAAACATCGATAAGGTTGGTTCACCCTGGTCTGATTCTTCTTTTTCTAGGATTAAGCCTTGGCATTCTTTGTTTCTAATAAAATGGGTAATTGAATGCAGCTTGGAAGGATATGCCTTGATATTCTTAAAGATAAATGGAGTCCTGCCCTTCAAATACGAACAGTCCTCTTGAGGTAAAGTGATTTATGATCTTATGAAAGTAAAAACATTGTGTCCTTGTTCTGTACCTGATGTTCCTCAAAGTAGATAGTGACAAGAAGTGAACTACCGACTGATAAATGGAAACAAATTAATTATTTATGAAGAAAAAGAGAGGTTTCCATTCAGATACCTGGATATGGCCTTTTTTTGCTGATAATATTCGAACTCTAATAAGATTTCTTTCTTTAATTGTTTATGTTCTAGCATTCAAGCTCTTTTGAGTGCCCCAAACCCAGATGATCCACTCTCTGAAAACATTGCAAAACATTGGAAAACAAATGAAGCTGAAGCTGTGGAAACAGGTAGCTTAATGTTTTTTTATGTTACGGGTACATTTAGCGTCACAAGTGTGTCTCACGGGCTTCTGTTTCTTTGATCCTGCAGCAAAGGAATGGACCCGTCTATACGCTAGTGGTGCGTGATGAAGATGTGGAAAACCCATTTTCGCCCCCAAATAACAGAAGGTGCAATGTGTTCTATTGACTGTTGAATTTAAATGGATATTTGGAAGAAGGCATGTTTGTACATTAGGAATCCAGTGTTCTTGATGCTCCCAATAACTGCTGATAATTATTCCCTCTTCATGAAACATGTCTTTGGAATTGTATAATGAGTTAAGACACCTCTGTTATCCTGTCTTTTGATCTAGAAATATGTGAATTGCTGTTACATCCCTATAGATAGGGGTGGGAATGAATAGCTTTTTGGGTCTGACGTTGAGTTTGTGGTTGAAGTCGGGAAATTGTTGAGAAAGTATTGATAATGTTCTCTTGTTCTCTAAAGCATGAAATTAAATGCAATCATGTTTGGTTTCCTATTCGACCATTGGGTATTGTTGGATACTGTCATAGGGTGTTTGGTGATCAATTTTGAAGTAGCAGAACTAGTGCAGAGGGAACAACTGTTCATGGAGATTTTTTTGGGCGACATTTGGCTGGTCTTTTTTCTGTTTTGGTTGTTCTTAACGACATTACATAGTGCAGAAAACTTGAATAACACCATGAAACCAAATATTGAGTCAAATCCACATAAGTACTAAATATCTGGAGCAATAGACCAACAACGGATGAATAAACTCATCATAAACCCTCTTAACCAGCTTTTCTTTGAACTCCATGCTCATCGTCAACAAAAGGTTCTGGTATGCATTACATATGCTTCAGCTTGTTGTAGTGTACAGGCAAGGCCTCCCAGAGTTGACGTCCCAGTTATCATTGCTCTTTTGGTAGGTGCTCAAATAATGTTCAATTTGTGGCTTTGGAGCGGGGTCACAGCGTATGGTCCTCTAAGAAACAAACAGTGACATCAGTGGCATTTCTCCGGTATTTACCTTTCTTTCTTGAAGAGACCTTGGCGTCTCTTTTGAGAAAATCACCAGTCTTTCTAGTTCTCTCTCTCTCTCTCTCTGAGAGAGACACACACACACAAACACATGAGATGTGGAGAAATTACCGAGGCACACTGAAAAGAATCGATACAGTGGGCCACAAAAGGGCAAGATTGATTGGGCCAACTATCTCTGGACCAAAGATAAACAGACCAACTCAAGTAGGAACGGCCTACATCGGTTAGATATGGGACACGAAAACATCTACATTTAGCAAAAGCAAGTTAGTGGTTGGCCGTAGGAGCTGAGTGAAGCGGGGTAATGCAAGTGCATGGTAAGTGATGAGCCCAAAATCAAATGGGCTAGGCCCAATAAATTAAGAAGGCCCAAGTTAGCTAAAGGGTGACCCAGGTCCACTTTACTGGTCCGACCCAATCCAAGATCCAAGAAGATCGGAGAGAAAAGAGCACGTGGAAGAGACTAGGGCTCACGCACTCATTAAAATCCAATCCTACGTGGGAGAGACTTTTTATTTTGGTCCAATTCTTTCAAATATTTACCTTGGATTATGAAATAAAACTTCTTAATATTTTTTCGAAAGTTGTATTTCTTTCAAGTTAATGAAACCTTTACAAAAGATAGAATTTGACCAATCAACAAAACACATAAATACAAAGACACCTCCTAATGACACTCACTACCTCCGCTCTCATTATCACTCGCGTCCTCCTCATTAGTCTTGGGAGCCTCATAAAGTTGAAAGCCAGAAAAATCATAAGCAAGGAATGCTATTGAGACCTTCCTCCTGAGCTCATCATCGCCGCCAATGAAGGCACCTACCTTGGCCCTCTCAACAGCATCCCTCATCTTCTCCATCTCTATGAAGTAAGTCTCTACCCTAATAACTCTCTCAAGAGCTGCTCAAAGGTCATCCTCCAACTTGGTAGCTCTCTCATGTGCTAGCCTCAACTGCTTTGCGACATCCTCTCGTACCTGTCGCTCGAACCCTAATTGTTTTGCGACATCCTCTCGTGTCTGCCGCTTAAGCACCAACTGCTCTTCAACAGCCTCACGTGCCCACCTCTCCGCCGCTTGGCCATCGATTGTCTTCATGATCTTCAGTGTATTTGTAAACAAGCAAGGCAAAACAGTAGCCACCTACAGGCATTCGAAGTGAAAATATAAAGGAAGAAAGCTAGGTACAAAGCCAAAATATAAAGGAAGAAAGTCATGTACAAAGCCAAAGAGGAGTGTGGGACATACCAAAGCAAAGCCCTCCACAACGGCATCAACAATGCCCTCTGGACCTCGGGAGGCAACCTCTTGAACCTCCATATAGGCCACGAACCCCCAAAGTCTCTCCTTGGCCAGCCTCACGTCCCGCAACATAGATATTGAGGCACCGCCCAAAGTAGGACAGCTCAGTGGACCCTCTGTCCTGATAAGAGACCGCGCGGGAGCATCAGCCCCCGTAATAGTGTTGAGACCATCTCTAGGGGGTAAGGAGACATCAGTCGAAGAAGGACAAGGTGCATCACCAAGCTCCTCCCCAAAGGGACTAGTCTGCCCAGTGGACCTTGGCTGAGAAGCACCGGGGGCACCAGACTTCACTCTCTTAGAAGAAGGAGGAGAAAACGCCACTCTGGAAGCACAGACTGCCTCCACCACCGACCGATCTATCAATACAGGTTACCTTAGAGCCATTGTCTCCATTGGTCCCTAGGCCTCCATCGGAGTCTCGAGCATTCTCCCGCTTGCCCGAAAGAACACCTGCCAAAGCAAAATCAAGACAGAGCTAGAAAGTACCCATGCCAATAGAAGAATAAAAATGAGTGTCAGGTAACGTACCTTGAGAGCTCGTTTTATTCAAATCGCTGATTGACCACTTCCTGGCACTACCCAAGGTGCCACTAAACTTGCCTGCAAGGTCTCAGGAATTGCTCAAATGGCCTGGACCTCCACCAGCATCATCCAAGGCATCCAAGTCACCGCCGCCGCCTAGAGCAAGAAGCTCAGCACCTTGAGCGATGTTTCCATCACTGGCCTCGCGAAAGGAGGCTTGAATCACGCTTGGGAGGCCGCCTGGTGCGCTGCCCAGCTCATGACAAGTGTAGTCTGTCTCTCTTGAGACCCCTCCTTGCAGTTCTCCAACGCCTTGGGCTCCTCCTGCTATTTTACAAGGGTTACACAAGGTTTCTTTCCCCATGCCTGAGGTCACGCCAAAAGTTCCAAAAGTACCATCGCCACGGCACATGCCCCACCGGGAGCCGCCAGAAGGAGCAGCAGGAGAGTCGCCCACGCCAAGCTCACCCTGGGAATCGCCCATAGCCTGGCCTGGCGTCGCCTGGGGTGTACCACGCCTGCCTATTTGTGAAACAAGGTCAAAGTCGCCTTCTCTCCTGCATGGGGCGCCGCCCATGGTCCCCTCCATTGTCATGGCTTCGCCCATGATTCCTCCAATGATCCTCTCGCTATCTGCCGAGACCTCATCAATACTGTCGCCAAGAGGATAGCCCAAGCCACCAGTGCTGGAGAGGGGATCGCCCAAGCCCCTGGCGCCACCCAAAGGGGTGCCGCCCGTAGCACCACTGGCGCCACCTAGGGACAGCTCTCCGTCGTCTCGCCAACAATGCCCATCTTCTTCAAGCTTTTAGTCTCCATGAACTTGTTGTGATTCGAGAAAAAGAAGACTAAGGGAGAGAAGTGGGCGAGGAATAGTAGCTTCCAGGAGGAGCCTTTAAATAATAGAAGAATGGCTTCTTGGAGAAGCCTTATGGAATAGCTTCTTGGAGAAGCTTTAAGGGATAGCTTCCAAGGGAAGCCTCAAGAGAAATGGAGGAAGAAATGAGGAGGAAAGATTAGGGACCTCTATTTATAGGTGAAGACCCAGACAGAAGAATGCCGATGTCAGTAGACTCAACAGAGAGCCCCAAAAAATGAAAGGGCACCGTGGGGAGAAAGAAACACTCCTACTCACTCAAATAAAGAAGAAGCTCATGCCTTCAACCCCGTCTCTCGCAAACAGTCAAAGGTTTGGGGGGGGGGGGAAATGATGAGCCCAAAATCAACTAGGTCGAGCCCAATAAATTAAGAAGGCCCAAG